CAACAACAGAAAAATGTCATGCGTAAAAGTTATGTCCCGCTCTTACTGATTGCGTTTGAAAATGACGAGCTTAAAAAAAGAGAAAAAAATTGAGTAGGTTTGTTGTTCAACATTTTTTTTTTACATTTTAGCAAATGTTTCTCCTTTTTTTAATCTTTATCTTTTTCTTTTAGTTTTTTTTGTAGGATAATATCTGATCCTTTTTGAGGCAGCAGTTCCACATATTGCTCCAGCGTTTATTCCAGACATCCAACCAGTCCGTCCTGTACAGCAGGAGACACAAGAGGCTGTTGGTTGTAAAAAGGAAAACTGCTCCGTTAAAAGAAGCGATCAGGAAGCAAATGGGTGTTTTTTTTATAGAGTTTGTGATTCCATTCAGGTCCGAGAAATTAAACCTAATTTCAATAACTCTTTATTTTTTTCCTATTTCAGTAATAAAATGTTTGTCACCCTGAAAACGGGAGACGGGTTCAGTTTTGGAACTGCTGACGATCCTCCGAGGCTCAAGCGTGGCGGGAGAATTTGGACAATACAGTCAGTCAGCTGCAGACGAGGGTGAGGGCAGGGAGGAGGTTAGCAAAGTGAGCCCTATCTACAAAGATCCTCCTTTGTAGAGTCTCGTAGGTTTTTCCTCTTCTTGCTGTTGCCCTGGTGGTGTGGCCTGCTGCTCGGATGACTTTTGGTGTTGAAGGAGTTCTGCTGTCCGTGATGGCTGCTCTTATTGTTGGAGCGAGACATCCTGCCCTGGAAATGCAGCACAACCACCATTTGTTAGTATGTTTCAAAAGGAGCCTAACACACTTTTGAAGTTGTTTGATCAATAGTTCTTCARGCTTTCTGAAGATATTTGCAAGGTTTTTGTACCTTTTCGATTTTTTTTGTTTTGTTTTTTTTTTTTACTTGCCCTGTTGGGCAAAAGTTACCTGCCTGACATGAAAAATGTTCAAAATTTGATAACATAATAACAACGAATGTTGTACTGCKTTTGAACACAGAATGATGTTGGAAAGTGGAAATATTACTAGAATTGAAAGATGCCGCTTTTTAAAAATAAATAAATGTTACTGAACATCAAAATACTGCTATTTAATTTGCATTAGTTTAATTTTATACAGCCAATCCCTTATCTAAAAACACATTTAATGTATCTTGAATAATTATGTCTTGTATTGGTGCCTGTATACAACTTTATGGTAGATCTGACATCATTTATGCCAGTCAGAATGTAATTAGAGCTCAAATAGTTATTTTACTTTGTCAAAATATAATTAAACTTGTCTTAATTAACTATATGTCTAGTCATAACACAATTTCAGATATCTTGAATGTAAGTGTGGTGAAGCTAATTAAATGTAATAACGGCCTGCCATACAGGTGAGGTTCCACATGCAACTGAAATGAACTGCGGCTGCGCTCTTAGAGCAGAAGCCAAATGTTTATATCTTCTTTTCATCCCCATGGTTTACAGGAAATAAGAAACTTTTTTCTCCTCTGACTTGGGTGTGAAGAAAAAAAACCTACTGTTGTACACGATGAAGCGGGGAGGGAGAACTTGTGATCCCTCGCGACATAATATTTTAGTTATATGCGACGTATTCTACAGCGGGAGGGAGCGATTAGGAGGACTTATCCTCCATCTATGCATTTTAAAATGCTATATTTCTTCATTTATTTTCAGAACTCTGATAAAATGGCCATAAAAAATAAAATGGCCATTAAAAAATAATTGAATTAAACCACCATTTAAAAAAAATAAAAGTAATAGTTTACATGCTTGGTCGGCCAGGTATCAGGACACATCCACCTGCCTTTTAAGTGCCCCCGGCATTGGTATTTGTCGAACCCTGATTTTAACTAATTTTTACAAGTTTATTTCACTCAACAGTGACCTATGACTAATTTGGGCATGAAGAAGTCTCCTAAACTGAAGAAAGCATCAGTGTTGTGCCTTTGTATAACAGACAACTTGCCAAAAAAAACAATTTTAAATGTAAACTTCAGCCACTTTATTACCAGTAGCTTGTCACAAATACTCCAGTTTCTTTAGTAACTAAAAATGCAACAAATTAACAATTTGACAGGGATAAAAAAGAATTGCATAAATATTTACAACAACACTGTAACTCTAAAAGAACAATAAGCTGAAAAGCAGCTAGAAAAGCTTGACACATTTTAAACACTTGGAAGTTATTTATTTTGACTTTCTTTGGTTTCCTCCTTTTTTAAAATACTCTTTAGGAGCCATTTTTAAATCGAAAGTCAGCTTTAACAGTGTAATGATTCAATAGCACCCCTATTAAAATTATGGAAGTGCAAGAACTGGCCTGAAAGTCCTTTAAAAATTACCGTAGGAGCTAATGTACAACAAAACTTTGGAAGACCTCCAGAAAGTAATAAACTGCCCAAGATTACGTAGCAATCCAAATACATAGGACTTCTTGAAAACAAGAGATGGCACTTTTGCGCAGTGATGATTACATGAAGGTGAAGCAGAACATACCTTTCCAGCTTTGTTGCTTGCAGATGGAGTGCTGGTAGGGTGGCTCTGTGTGCGGTGATTACTGACCACAGCAGCCTTTTCTCTGTGAGTACTGGAGCTTCGGCCAGACTGCTGCTTGGCTGTTTTACACGGTGTGCCATCAGAGTCCTGAGAAAAGGGAAAACAACAATGAGGATTATTTCCAAGACAGTCATCAGCCTAACAATTTCTGTGCAGCTGAAAGTACTGACCGCGTCGCTGGAAGACGCTGAAGACGGCGACAGCGGAGAGGACGAGGGAGAGGAGCGCAGGGAGGAGGGAGGAGAAGAGGTGCTGGAGGAGGATTCGCTGTGGGGAGCCGACGGCAGAACCACAACATCATCCTCATCATCTGTGACGTTGTTGTTGCGYTCATCCAGCTGCTTGGACTCGAACAATTTCACATCATTTCCTGTAAACGCAGGGCAACAATAACTGAAGTGAACCTGGCAGAAGATGCTCACACTGAGTTAAATGGTAAAATATTTGCCGCAGCAAGAATTTTCTACACATTTCACAAGAGATCAAACATACTGTTGAGTGAGGGATCATTCTGAGATGGGCTCCCCCAGTTCTTATGGATCCATTCCCTGTACTCATCCACCTCCTGAGTGACTCGGATTATCCGACCAAGTATACTATGATAAGAGACAGTAAGAACAGCCATTACTCTAATGTTTACATGCAACTATGAAAAGTAACAAGTCTCTTATTAACTCCTTACCTTTCATTCTCGTTATTGGGATAGTACTTGGTGACAGGTGACACAGCATGGCTGAGTACAACATAAGCGTAGTCGAACGCCTGCTTTACCTGCATGGCACCATATGAGCTCCTGCCAACATCGTTATCTGGTGGACACAAGGCAGAAAAAAACAAACAAAACAAAAAACATCAGTAAGTATGACCCCAGTGCATCATCTTCCATGTATTCGTGTAACATTACTACCTGGCTGCAGAGGGTCCTCAATGTAGAGCATAGAGGGTCTGTATCCATCCATCATGTTCTTCTGAACCTCATCTTTGGCAACGTAGCAGCCGCCATCTTTTATCCTGATGCCCGTTTTCAGGTAGTTGAAGTTGCGACCGTAGAGCTCGAAGAACTCAATGAGCAGAACGCCGAAGTTGATTTTGGGACTGGACACATCCTCCCTGCAATGAAGCTAAAAAACCCAGCTCCATTAAAATGTGTGATCATTGATCAAGGAGTAACTGGGGAATTCAAATGTCAACTGTMTGTCAGCAACTTTAACTACAACTGTTCTTTGGTTTTAATTGTTTTCCTCCTAAAACAATAAAATCATAAACACAAACTGTAGCACTAACCTGCAAGAAGCTAACAGCCATGAGGAAGAGACTGTAGGAACCAATTCCTCCTGTAAAAACCTCGTTAAGGTCTCTCTGCAACAGGAACTGCTTCAGCACCAGGACTAGGTAAGGCAACACAGGGTATTTCTAAGGGCAAAAAAAGGACAAACACATTCAAGAAATGGCAAGGAACTTAACATTCACAACTACTTAAAGAGGTAAGGAAATTACTGTGTCTCAAAGTTGCAAAACTGACTCTTCAAGTGTCACTTAAGCAAACCAGTAAATTGTACCTCTTTGAAATCCTTGATAAGCTGAGCGGCTTTAACGCCACTCATCACATTGAAGCTGATGTCCACTTTCACTTCAGTGAATGAGTCCGTAAGTTTGATGATGGGAACCTGAAAATGCACATTTAAAAACACAAAACGACAAAATTTAAATACTTTTAGTTGTGCTGATAAGCTATGATCCAAAATGTTTAGGACAATTGCCTTTTTTTTTTTCAAGGTAGTACAGTCTTACCGTTGCTTTATCCAGGACTTTGATAGAATTCTCATCTGCAACGTTTCTCTTTCGGAGAGCTTCCTCCAGCGTCCAGAGTGGGAGTGTCTCCCACTTCCCAAAGACCACTAGGTCAATGTCACTGTTAGAGGGGGGGGGAAGGGTCAAGCTTAAGGATCATTCTTCAATAAGCACAGACACTTCAAAAAAACACAAAGTGACTGCTTCGACTCTTTCCTTACATACTAACAAGACAAAATATGACATAAATTAGCTTAATTAATTTCAGATATAACAAACTATAGAATGTACAGTTCCAGAATAACAGTGTCATCAACTGAGAACTTTAATATGGTACTGCATTTACAGTGCATACTGTGTACATACTGTGTGGCTGTTTAATACAGGCAACTTTGCTGCCATCTAGTGGGTAAACTGTGTAACTACTCACAGTAGTTGAAAACATTGATACTGTTTCCTAATCAGCAGCATCAAGAGGCCAGTAAATAAGACACACATATAAGTTTCATTAACCTTGTAACATTAAAGCAGACAAAAGGCTCCCAAAGTAAGTCTCTCTCTCTCCATCCAACTACATTCAATCAACACATTGCTTTGTTTTATTCAGTACAGTTCCAGGAGTCCAATAGGAGACACGTTTGTYGAACAGAGGAGCAGACATTCATTCCTTGTCCTCTAGCTGTCTGTCACTAGAGGAAGCCACTCTCAAAACTAAAAGAAACCCTAAATCAGCAGATCCTACATTATTAAACATGCACAGATAGAACTTGGGCAGGCCACTCCTTCAGACAAAAACACGACAGTGTAGGAAAAACATCCAACCTTAATGTTAAAAGAACAAAAATAATATTCCAAATAAATGCTACAGCTTTACAACTTTCAGCAAAAGATCTGAGATCTACTTTAGTCTGCTCTTGCACAAGAAATAAGATCTGATGCATTCATCATTAAGTTCAGGTAACAGGCACAGTCCAACTGTAAGTGTGGGTTCAGTTTAACCACGTCAGACAGTAGTCAGCAGCAGCTGATCTGATCTCAGTCTGTTCCGCAAACAGACCTGAGAACAGGGAACAACAGCTGATGCTGATGTAAAGAAGCAAAATGAAAAATGAGAACTACTTTGTGGATTCAAAATTTCTCACCGAATATTTTATGTACATGCTGGTGTAGATTCTCAGACATCCATGAAATGATCAATTAAAACAAATGTTTTTAAAAAACAAAGACTGGACTATAATTCTGTACTTCCAACTTTAAACCAGTTTTTAAATTGTGTTGATGGGCCAAGTATAACTGGAGTTATGATGGATAAATAGGTTACATCACCTTTTTTTAATCTTAAAATGACGGTCCACTTTGATGCGCGTCGTAAACAGAATACACACAACAAATGCGCGTGGGATACAAAAACAGCAACGTAACACCRCACACCTGTCAGGTCCTGACCAACACACAATGCCACACAAGCACAATTCACATGGTACACAAAAACAGTGCATCTGTCCTACACAAGGCCCAACACACACAGTGTGACGCACACACAAGGTCCCGCTTTTGACTGGGTCAAATTACAAGCCAAATAAAGAAAATAAAAATACAACAAATGTTATTTAGTGGCTGCAATTTGAACCATTAGATAATGTCTCCTCCTTTCTGTCTCTGCCTCCTGTGCAAGAGGAGGAGGAGAGAAAAGAAAAAGGTATAAAGCAGAGACACTGTCAGCTGTCAGTCACAACACACAGCAGAGCAATCCACCGCTACTGTGTTAAAAATAAATGAACTGAAGCAGGAAACAGGAAAAATGCATTTGTTTTATGCAGAACGTAATGGAAGTCACGTCAAAAAAATGTAACAAAACAAAGACTGGGAAGTGGGTGAGGTCACTGAAAGGCGATTTGCAGAAAGATTTTTTCTGAAGTTATATTTCATTTTTTTCATGAATAGAAACAAAACATGAAGCAACACTAGCTGCGTTTCCATTGACCATGAAAATGCGCAAATTAGAATTTCGAAAATAAATTTGCTCAATGGAAACACGTCAATTTTGGAAAAAAAGTTTTTCGACAAAAAGTTTTTGTGCTAAGATGAGGTGGTATTTCGACCGTATCAAAATTGGTGTTTTTCGCAAAACTGCAATGGAAACACTTTTCGCATCACGGGAGTCACGTGATCAACAACCGGCTGTTTCTACTGGCGAAAAAGATGACGACGAAGAAGATAACAGGAAGTAGAAATCGTAGTAATATCACAGAAGTAGTTTAAAATAGTAAACTCACCGACTACAATTTCCCAAAAACACAGCATACGTAGGCGCTCCCAAGTAGGGAATTGTCGCTGGAAATCCTCGATTAAAAGACGCCGACGTCTCCTCTGATGATGAGCGCTAGTGTCGTGGTAGCAACATGCTATGTGTTTACATCCATCGCTGTCATGTTTGTAATGACTTATTGCGAGAGAAAACGTATTCACGCATGACTTTAATAGCATTTCTTACTTAATGGAAACACCGCAGTCGCGAAACTGTGTTTTTCGACATTAACAGAATATCGACAAAGTTTTGCGCACATCTGCAATAGAAACGCAGCTAGTGTAAAAGTGATTCGCACAAGAAACCCACAGCTCAGAAAGCTGCCTGTCAATCGATGGACACATTGTACTCAAATACAAAGATGACTGTTAGACCACCCCACACCTGCTGCATCGTTGTTTAAGCTGCAGTGTTGAAATCATGTGAAAAAAAGTAGCAGCTACCAGTATGTTAAGTTGCCCCTAAGGTAAGCAGGTTCCAGCCACAGAGAACAACTCAGAGTTTAAATATTTATAGCTTCTTGTGCAATTTGCAGCAACACTAAGAAAAAGGCTGCAAAAAGTAAAGAATCGGGGGGATATAAAATCTACATGTAAATAATTTTTTATATTAATTGCTTTACATCTCTCTGTTCATGATGAATTAAATGTTTCACATAATTCATTATTTGAATATTTTTTAATAAGATTGATAACATCAATCATAGGCCTGTCGCGATAGTCAATAAATCAGTTAATCGCACGATAACTTTTTTTGAGGTCGGT